ATCGTGTGAAAGAATAAATCCAAATTACTGAAAAACTCTGCTCATATAACATCTAGCTGCACATTGGAAATATCTTTATTACATGTATATTAAATTGATTGGAGATATTCCCTATGTACAACTAAATTCCCATACTTTCATCTTATGTGGAGAGTTTTTACTTATTAGGAATCCCTAGCAGCTGAAACTTGAAATCAGGAAGAGAGAACAAAATGAGATTGGTTTTGCGGGGTGTTATGCAGCCATGGGAACCTCTGATCTTGACTCTTCCCCTCCCCTACCCCCTCTCTCTCTCTTTCAGTTACAGGGTTACAGCTCTCGATCACTTCCCTCCTATAACTTTTTTGCTTTTAGATTTTGATTAAGATCAGATATCAAAACTATGATCAATTAGATGGTTATGGCCTAGAGAGGACACCCTCTGTCTCTGTCTCTGCCATGAACCCGAGGCTGAGGAAGTGAAGAGGATACCACCAAAACCCCATCTCGTTGGAAATAGTTGAGTCCATCTCAGCAACACTTTTCAGTGTACTGGGTTATGTTTGTTGTTTGTTTGAGGTAGCGTTTGGACTGTAATGCTTGGAATTTCCGCAACTTTTGAAAAGATCATGTTAAGCATAATTGTGAAAGACGTCTGCACTCTGCAATCTCTTGGAAGTTGAAACATAGAAGTTTGCAAGGCAATGGTGGCCTCAGATTTCGAGGTTTGGTGAACTTTTGTAATCCTAAAACAAAAATTGATTTCTGTGATTATAAAATAACGGCAAATTTATTAAAGTATTCGTATGGTTTAGAAAATTGATTAATTCTTCTGTTACATTATGGTTTTTGAATCGCCGTTGATTTAGATGGTCGGACCGTTTGGTCTGAGAATTATTTAAACAATCAGTTCTGTTAATTATTTAAGCAAAAAAATCGTTGAATCAATCAACGATCCATCAACCTAAGTGATCAAACCGTTAAATCGTTAATCTATTCAACAGTTTTTTACCATTTTTTATTTTTAATTATTTTTATTTTTTAATTTTTTATTAGAACAGACTATCAACTATCCGTTTCAACTGAATAATGAACCGTTGATCCAGAAAAATGGCCAAAACGGTTCCATTTCCGAGTCATTATTGTCTTAAATAATTCTCCCTTATTGTTAACTTTCTATCACACTCCTCCTCCGTGACCGCTGAACCAGAAGTGACCTGAAACAGCTTGGGACCCAATCTGCCACTTTCATCTCCAAGTTTAGAACCACCGGATTCATGTATTCCTAAAATCATAATAAAATAAAAGGAGAAGCAAAGAAAATAATGGCAACTTTTGAAAACATCATGTTGTAAAGGGAGGGCGGTGTGTTAGATCATGTTGGAATTAACGTGAGAATCCGAGAGGCTTCTCCATCTCTGTTTACAATCGAACCACCTCCAAATTCGACAAGACACTGGAGCGAGCTAATCAAGAAGGCAACCTCCGACTTACCGATAGCGAGCTAACCCTCTCTGAATTCATGGAGGCCGCTGACTGCATCATTAACACAGAGCGTCGAATGCGTGAAGAGGCAGATCGTGGTATTCTATTGAGCGTTTCAGGTGGAGGAGAGGGTGCCCGTCATAGACCTTCACTCATGCCCAAGGGGCGTTTCAGATCTGTTGCTAGTAGGGTTTCTTACAAGGCAAAAATGGCATTTCAGATCTATCCTTTTTTTTTTTGATAACGTACAAAGCATACAACCAACGAATGTAGATTTTGTACCGAACCAGACAGCTTCCCACCGGGTCAGATTTTTTCCTTTCCTTTGTTGATTGGATATCAGTCATCGGAAAACAAAACAGAGAGGGCCTGATCTGGGGTGTTACCACGGTTGGTCCTTTCGAACTAAATGCCGCTACTACTGGCGATGGCGTAACATTCAGTACTTTCCCACTAAAACTCAGCACTGCCATCGTTTTCGGATCTGATCTTGCATACTCCCTAAGCCCCTAATCATATTCCCTACCTTCCTCCCCACTTCAACCGTTGGAAGTAAATGGCTTTCCACCACCAGCTCTTCGCCGCTGGCCACCGTGTTCGCCAGTATCATGCCCAATTCACCTGCATCACGAACTACCGCACCTTTCTCTACTCGCGCACAAATACCCCAGTCACAGAGTACCACCTTCCCGCAAACCCGTTCCGGTTCAAGCGAACCAGGCAAGCACAAGTTGCTCATCCTGTTCCTCTTGCCGGTTTCCTTCCCATACCCTTTCCGTTGTAGAGTGACACGTCAAAGGTGAAGGGTGGCTTGCGACCGCATCTTCCATGTCTCTTCTCCGGCCGCAAACAGATGTGATACCGAACTTAGGATCTTGGTCCAAGAACACCGGCTGGATCAGAACAGGATCCATTGGCTCACTTGGCCCTGAGATTGAACTGCGCTTGAACCAACCCTATCCAATATGTTATTAGGTAGGGCCTGGTTTCAAATTCTTGTAACCCACGCAGCCTGGTTGGTTCTAAGATTTGGAGTTTTTCTCCTACCCAAACGAACCCAGAAAACCAACCTTGACTGGCCTGGGTGGAACTGGCCTTAGAACCTAATTTGTCTTAAAATAGATGCCAAAATACTTTTAGTGATGTGAATGTTTGAACCTAACTATTCATTGTTACAAAGACTAGGGTCTCACTTAACAATTAAGCCACTTAAGTAAATTAATAATTTTCATCAATTTAATATTTGAATATGTATAATATATAAAAGGTAATATTTACAAAATTTAAATTATAATAATAAGTTTTAAAAGGTAATATATCTTGATAAAATACAGATTAAATTATTCAATTTAATCAATAAAAGTAATATAAATTTTCAACTATATATTATCATTATTGAAAATCAAGTTTAAACATTTTACGAATGTGATATTATTATTATTATTATTATTATTATTATTATTATTATTATTTTTGGTTCCATGGATAGACCCTGTAAAAGACCTTAGAATCACCAAGGCAGAATTGACTTTGAAACCAATCTTGACAAGGTAAGTTTCAGTTCCAAAAACCTATAATTGACCCCTATAGGGTAGGTTCTAAATTTTGCCTTGAAACCGAACCAAACCAACCCACACTCAACCTTAGTATGAGCAACTTCATACAAAGAAACCAAACAATAGACAAATGAAAATCAGAGAAATTTCTTTTCTCAACTTCAATTATGCATCTTGTAAATAGAACTTCTTCACTTCTATGAATTTTCCATTTAAATTTCCTTTAACACTTTCTTTCCATGCTAGAATTCCTTGTCAAGTTCCAAAATATTGATAGTACAATACAAAAAATTGAAAATAACGCACATCAATTGCTTGGGTACTATCTTTTTCAATATATTATTTGTACATAATTTTATTAGGATGGAGCTATTAATATCCCATAACTCTCCATATTTTGCATTTCAATGCCTTTCATGGGAATTATTTTTTGAATTTTGAGAGGGGGGAAATTGGTCAATGGGATTGTGAATCCTATTGACTAAGAAACCCATATTCTTTTTTCAGATTTATGTGAAAACATGGAAAAGTTTATTTTCCTGGGTATCACTCCTAGGCAGATAAATAACTTTTCCACTTTAAGAAAAGTTGCCAGCACTAGGACGGAATAAAAATGTCCCTTTTAATAATGAATTTTTATAGTTAAATTAGTTATTATCTTATTTACCTAAGAAATAAAAGAATATGGGTAAATGCATTTACATGGGTAAATATTTATTGGGAATAAAGTTATTTACTTGCGTAAAAGAGGAAAGGGCCTCAAAACTAACAAGATATGCCCCATATCAAACCTATCATGTCGATACTTTAATTGAATCATTTCAAGATATTAAAAAAAAGATGATATTTGTTATTTAGTCCAAGTATGACATATGCACGCCACAACCCACGTGGCAATGGGATACTTGGATCCGAACGAATTTCGGCCAAATCCGAATCCAATTCGATTAATGGAAAGGGAAATCCGCATCCAATCCAAAATCTGATTGGATTTGAAGATCCTACATCATATTTAAATTCTATCCAATCCAATTAGGTTAACAGATCATCTGATCCGAGATCAAATGTTAATCAGTTTTTGGACTTTTGGAGTCTTTTGACACCCCTAGTTCGATCTGCTCTCGTAGTTGGAATCAAGTTTCAGTGTGCAACTCTGTTTCATAGCGAAATCAAAAGAAACTTGTTTATGCTTAATTTGAAAAGAGTATAAATACAAATATGTACAGTACAATTAGGTACAAAACAATACAAAATATAAGGTTTTGCACTCTACCATATTTGTATTTATACTCCTTCCAAACTGAGCCATATAGGCTCAATTTGAAAAGAGTGCAAATACAAATACACATGTACATATTCATACATATACAGTATGCACGGTATATTTGTATTTGTGTTTTATATATACCATGCAAATACATATAAAACGATAAAAACAATACCAAGGTTTTACACTCTAAATGCTACTAAGCCTTGTGGTCCCCCCATGCCATAGAACCACTGCAATTGTGATAGATTCGTCCACTTGTCACAGTTGTCAAATGTGCGAACTCATAAAACTTTATGAAGTGGAGGAATCAATAAAAATTCCAAAAAATAAATAATTGAATGTGTCCTCTTTGTTGGAAGCGATTCTCGGTGCAATAGCTCTGCCTCGTGGCAAAACCAGAAAAGACATTTGTTTAAGCAAAGGAGGAAAAGAAGAATTACCTCGCCATCATGAATTCATGATTTGAGATGGTGATTACAATGGCCGCCGCTCAATGCCTTCCATATTACGATTTATAATTAAATGAGTAGAGGTGACTGGTTTGGCTGTACCACTGCACAATCATTCCGTATGAAGTATGAACAACTCAAACCAACCATGATTAGTGTCACATTATTCAAAAGCTTCTTTATTGCATGACAAGCGTGAAGGAGTAATGCCAATTCACAGGCTGGAATGGATTTCAATTTTAAAAGGTACTCAAACGTCTTGCAAAAAACAGCTTATGATTTTCACTCTGCAATCACCCCAAAAAATGCTTTATGAATACTGACAAGGAAGTATTCACTCATCCCAAGCTTATAATCCTTTATAATATGAACTACGAAGCAGTTCTATACAAATGCAAACAAAAACAAAAAACTGAAACTCCTGTGCATACAGACACCAGAAAGTACTCACCCATCCAAACTCCAAAGCTTATACTCAACATGCAAACACAGCAAACACAGACCACAAAGTGAATAGCAGTGCAAGCCCATACACAGAATGAATCACAACGGCAAGCCCATTCCCACAAATTTGCCTTGGAGTTGCATGAAACTTTCATCTAGTGAAAGACTGGATATTGGAAATGCCTCTCTTACTGTTATCTCGAAAGGGACCATATCACCAATGATTGTACAAATTGTGAACTCCAGATTTGATCAGGGTGAAATAAGAAAATTACCAGATTCAAAAGATCTAAAAGAGGGCAAGAAGGAATAGCAGTTATAGTAGATGCTCTCATTTTGAAACATAAATTGATAAGATCCAGCAAAAAAGAATACCAGTGTTTAGGGAAAGAAACAGTAGGAAATTTGGAAAACAAGAATTAAGGAATTGAAAACGGTATTGGGTTTTCTTGATAGGGAAAAGACAGATTAAGTAGAACTTTTCCCATAAGCTTTTCTGATCATATCAAATTGTTAAGACCATCCAAATCAGATCAGAAGAGAATACCAAACCCAAATCAAGGTGCAGTTTCAAGCCTGGGTTCAAAGCAAAAACCAGAGAAGAGCTGAAGTGGGAATCGCTTTGTTACAGGGCATTTCTGTGACCACTTCCATTGCTTCAGGTTCATGTCAAACACAAGGAGAGCTGGAGCTCCATAACTCTGGATGTAGATGAGATCATCAGTGCCACTGCTTGCAAAGACTTCATCAAACTCTCCAAATCCTTGAAAGAATTTGTGGGGCATCCGAGCTACCTCTCGCCATTCTTTCCTATCAAGAACCCAAATGCCAATACCCTTAATTATGTCAGGTCGGTCTTGTTTCCCAATCCCACCTACCATTACCAGCTTATCCTTCAGGTTCATAAGGCGACCACAGGTAAGAGAGCAAGGTACAGGGATAAAAGTCCTTATCAGCATACCGTGGGAAGATCGACTAGAGAGATCATACATTACCAAGCCATGGCGGTCAGGCCAACGCATGCCGCCTCCTGTTGAGTAAATCAAGAAGTATAGAATCCCATCACAGATCACACTCTCATCACCACCTCTCCACCCTGTAAACATCTCTGTAGCAGAAGTCACCCATGTCATTGTTTCTGAATCATAAACATGGATAGAGAGATCCCATTGGAAAAAGTTGCCAGGGACTTGCTTAGATTTTGCAATTGTAATGGTATAATTGTGTGATACCCTGTCTACTGAGATTGCAAGGGCACTGTAGTCAGAATACCTCAGACCAGGAGGTTCCTCAAGCTTTTTATAGGCTTTGGTGATTGGATTACAGACAAATAGCTGGCTTCTGCTATCATTGTCCATGAAGCAAACCAACCCACATGATGAGGCAATAAACCAATTAGATGTCTCTATACAGGGAAGATCAACACCATACCATTTCCGAAGAATAGGATCATAGGCATACCCAATGGGATCATCAGAGCTGGTAAACATGTAGTACCAGGGTTTCTGTGACAAGACATTTAACTTTTTGGAATTTACAATTTCCCTCCATCTTTTACACACACAACCTGCTCTGAAGATGCTTGCAACAGGGAGATAAGCTAGGATTCGTTCCAATAGTTCATCAGGGAGAATGGCATCCAATGAAACCAGTGAATTTTCTTTGCTGCCTTCATCACACATCTCCGAGAATGGTTCAAACTCTGAAATCTCCGGGATTTCTCTTCCAATGTCATCAAAGTGATCAGTGAACCACGAGGTTTCCCCTTCCATGATCTAGAAATATAAAAATGCCCTGAAGAAAACAAACCGAAGGAAGAAATAAAACCCAAGTTTCTTGTAATTGCAGCATATCCACATTAAAAGCGCAAGCACCTATAAGAATCCTAAGTTAATTGGAAATCCGAAAAAATCAAGGTCATTTCATATTACCATAAAATCAGGAGTGGGAAAAGATCAATGCAAAGAACTTACCACCAATCAAGTAGGGAAAACAATCACCCTACCTCAATATGGAATCATCTGATTAAAAGAGATATGCAAAGAAATAATGGGACTGAAATCCATGGTATCTAAGCAAAAAAATAGTATGAGAATTCAGATTAAGTAAAACAGTACACAACCTCAGTGCTCGGTAGGTAAAGAAAGAACTAATTGCATGGTCTTATATAGAAACGCCACTCAACCTTAAACAATCTTCAGTAATATGCCCAAGTCCACCGTTTTTCAGTGCTCAGTCCTAAGTTTATAAGACCATAAATTAGATGGCTCCTCCTCCAAATAAATAGTAATATCAGACTTGAATGCAAAGGAGCATATTTAAAGGACTTATATGTTATAACTGAAGCCGACCAATGAACCAAATTTAAATATCTACAACTGAAGGTGACCAGAGAGAGAGAGAATCTTCTCAATGAATTTATGACTCAACTGGTACAATCTTCAAATGTTAAAGTTTGCAAAAGAAAATGGAGATCCAACCAGACCTTAGAACATACAAAATATATCATTAAACTTCTGAGAAGAAATAACGACAAACAAGGTAAAAAGCAGAATACCAACGTCACAGTTTCTAGATTCAGATATACTATTATATTAAACTCCTATTCGAAGAGGCAATAGTTTAGATAAAGAAAATTGACTGTCAAAGAAGCAAGGTCTAACAAAAAGGGATTAGAACTACATGTATCAAATCTAAATTACATTGAAGGACCTCAAATTGAACATAGGAAAGAAGCAAGAAAATCTAATAACAGACCCCGTATCACCAGTAATATAACAAAACGAAGATGATAAATGTATTCAATAAATAAACGAATGCAAAAAGGCTTCACAAATAAACACAATCGTTGCTAGACAATCTAAACACGAAACCCTAAAATCGATTGCCCATGAAACGCAGAAAATGAAAAGAAAGAAACAATGCTGTAAGAGATTAGTGCATGTAAACCCATCAAAGAGACATTCCACCTCCTAGAAAGAAAGAATGAACACAAACGACAATACAAATTAAAACAAACACAGATTAAAACACACACAAAAAAAGTGATCAACGAAAACAATAAAACGATCGACAAATATCAACATACCTTCCCCAGAACAGAGTTCTATTTTTACTTTTCCACAACCTCCTTTGCCCTTAGTAATCAAATGGTGTCTTCCTATTCCATTCCATAATCTCTAGATTTAGAAAGGGGAAAGGCAAGAAGGGATCGTACAATGAATCCAATGGCTCATCTTTGAAAATATGTAAAAGCATATGGATATAGAGAGAAAGAGAAAACGAGAGAGAGCGAAAATGGGTGGCTCAGTTTTCTCTTAGAACTACAGATTTAGCAGAGAAGAAGCCTGCAGCGTCCCATCATCCATGTAGACTTTCCTATGGAGAGAGAGATGGGAAACACGGCTTTTATTTCGATACAACAAAACGACAGGCAGAAACGGAAGGCGGTTTTCTATAGGGTTGTATCGAGAACGAGAGTGAGAATCAGAATGTGTGTGAGAGAGAGAGAGGGAGTGAAGAGGGAAGGGAGTGGGTGAGAACTGAGAAGGGGCTTGTTTGGGGTCCGCTTTTGCTTTTCTATAGTCAAATGGCTGTATGTGTTTAAGCTTTGTGGCTTTTCATGAGAGACCATCAGGTTTTTGGCCTCACTGAAAAGCAAAATAAATAAATAAATAATGCTTTCTTGCTCATCAGTCCTCAACCCCATTTCTCATCTTTCGTTTTTTTTTTTGCATTACCAAAAAAACTTTTGCTTTTCTCTTTTTATTTATTTTTAATTTTCCTCTAAATCTCCAACACAACTCTGGACAACAAAGTTTGGCTGTTTGAAATAAAACAGGTTGGGCTGTTTTTGAGCCTCCTGCATATGACACGTTAGCATGGAATATGAACTTAGCGTAAAAGAATAATTAAAGCAGCGCAGGCTGTTTTTTTTACCAAACAGCCAAACTATTCTCACCTTGGTGGTTCAGGGCTTTTCCCCATCCAGCTTTCTCCCTTTTGGGGTTACGTCCAAAATCCAACCTATGTAGTAAGTTTTCTCTATACTTGCTTCAAGTAGTGAAGACCTTGTTGTTTTCAACTTTTCATGTCTGTACTAGGGCCATTATAGGCCTCCTTTACGGCCTTACCTAACACGAGTCTCATGACTCATACTAGCCAGAGGTAAAAATAACACGAGTCTCGCTTTCAAAGAGAAATTTGTACGATAAATGATTTGGATTTTACAAGGAAAATGATAGGAGAAGAGAAAAAAAACTTGAAATAATAAAAATGATGGGAAAAAAATAAAAATAATGGGTATAAAAACTCATTTCAGGATTTTCTACTTTTTTTTAACAAAAGCAAAGTACATTTGAATTAGGAATGTTTGGTATCTGTTGTCGTTTTTTCAAACAAAAGTAATGCTTTAGATTTGTTAAAATGATTTGGGTATTTGCATATTTTATATTGTTATATGGTGATAGAGAGCACACATAAGCAAAAAGTTGGGTGATGTTTGGCATCGATGATAATTTCTTGAAAATCACTGTCATGTTCGAGCCATGTCAGTGGTAGAGGAGTTGGTGTTGAAATTTTTGTTTGGTTGGCCGACTTTGATGATTTTCTGGAAATCGACCAAAAATTGATCTTGAAATCATCCCTCTTTAGGGATCACATTTTTTGATGATTTCCTGATTTTTAGCTGATTTCAATGTTTGATGACGATATGGCACTGAATAATAACTCTAATACAAAAATAATTGACCCTTGAAAATCAATACCAAATATATTTAGCCAGTTTCTCAAAAATTGACTTACATGGCAGAAATGATAACAAATAACAAAATTTACTGATATTTGAAAAAAAAAACAGTGATATAAAAAATCGCCTATTTTTGAAAAATCAACAAGAATCAGCATTGATGCCAAAATCACCTTGAAAATATGCTTCCATTGCAAAATAACGTCAAGATGATATTTTCTTCAAAAATTACTCTCACACATAATACAAAGCATTCAATATTGTTTGAAACAACTTGAAAAATGTTAAACAAGTAAAAGTGTGGGAGAGAGCAAAGTGCCTCTACTTAATACTAGGGGTGTCAATTGGACTGGATTTGGTCCAATCCGGTCCAGTCCAAACTATGTCCAATCCAATCCAATGAATATTTTGGACTATTTTAGATTAGCCTATTTCAATATTTGGACTGTCCAATCTGTTTTAATTTAGATTGGTTCTAACCTAAACCTGGTCCATTGACACCTATATTCTTATCTTCTATCAATAGACCAGATATTGGTTCAATTCAACCCAATCCAATATAAATTTATGATAAATGGGCCAAGCCCAATCTAATTCAATAAACACTTTGGACCATTAAGTCTGGACTGGTCTAATTCAATCCATCCAACCCTTACTTAACACTAATATATATGGTGAAAACCGAAAAAGCCTTAGTGAGAAGACTCTATCAAACACCATCTTTATATGTATCTTGCTGTGATCAGCACTTTTAACTAGGTTGATTAAAATAAGAAAAAATGGTAAAGATTAGTGAAGCAAGTGGACATTGTTGTGTGAGATTTGCCCCGTAAAAAGAAACATTTTTGGTTTTTGGATTTTGGAGTCTGTAATCCACTGTATACCAGCATGTTTAAGAATGTGCATGAAAACTTACCACGAATACCCAAAAACAAATAGAAGGAAAAAAAAAAGAAAAGAAAACGAATATGGGATTAAATTAACGATTTAAATTAATACTATTAAGCAGAAGTTTGCCAAGTTTAGATAAGTTGGTTAATAATAAGTAATAAAATATTTTGTTGGTCTCACATGCAATTTTGAACAAAGAGATGTTTTTCCCAATCTCACACGTTATCAAGGTGGGGGGAAAGCCTCCGTGAGATAAAACAAAGGGAGTATAACATATCCTTATTGTAAATCCGTCGCGACTCTCATGGAATATAGCCTAGATATATATAATATAGACAATTGAAAAAAATAATAATATATTATATCTATTTATTATTGCTTCTCCACTAGGATAGAATATGTGGAGTTTCAATTTGTGCCACAGATTTATAGAAAGAGTAAGGAGTTATTTGATAACAACTGAAGTGCTGAACTGAAAATTTTATTGTTTTGTTATAATTTCTTAGTGGATAAAATGATTAGATAAATAAAATATTAAAAAGTATAGTAGTATATTACTTTGGCTTCAGTTATTAAGGTGGTGTTTGGTTTCATTGTCATTTTAGTTATGGAATATTGTAACAGTTTGCGCAATGCAAAAAAAAAAAAAAGTTTAAATTATGCTTTCTGAAGTGGCACCAATTTCTAAGAATCAATGAAACATATTTTTTGCTGTTATTCTAAAAAATGGCTAACCAAATAGCAGATATGGTAGTTGAAGTTGAATTGTTGATGTGGCTCTAATATGACACCGTTTTTTCCTCCTAACGAATCTACTAACCACCTTGAAAATTTACCCACTAAAAGACAAAACAATAAGCTTTTTAGTTCATCCACTATAAGCTGTTATCAAACAGCCCCTTATTTGACCCTCCCATGAAACCATTTGATATATGTATCTTTGGTACTGTACAATGGAATAAAAGGTGGTGGTTACTTCTTTAGTAATAAGGGACAGTGATAATTCCACCATGGTGTCTCTCCTTTTATTTATTTTATTTTTTGTAAAGAGAGATAAATATAATTATGATTTAAAAGATAATTCCACCATGGTGTCTCTCTTTTATTTCTTTTTCTTTTTGTAGAGAGAGATAAATATAATTATGATTTAAAAGATATAAAGAAGAAAATACAAATTCCCTAGGCGGCCTAAGTTAATTAGCTTACCAGTTTCCTGATTGTAGAGGGTATGTAGCAGTGTGACTTATTGTTCGTGATTTCCATTTCTATCGATTTGGATGAGTTAAAGATAATCAGTGACCATTCCCTTTGCTTCTCCATGGTGGGTCTATCTTTCTTTCCAAGTTATCAGTAATAAATTTTCAATATCCCTCAATACAAGTTATCAGTAATAATTTTCCAATGGCTAAAAACCCAACTTAGAATGGTGGGTCTATCTATCTTCCTTTCATTTTTATTTATACACGTGTGATAGCACATGCCGTTACATTAGTGGGTTTAAAACTCTAAATTAGGGTCATGCTGTTTATTTTTTGGGAAGTTATTTATTAAGAAATACATATCCGAGTAAATGCATTTACTTATATTCTTTTATGTCCTAAGTAAATAAGATAATGACCATTTTATTTATAAAAATTCATTATTAAACATGGCAATTTTGTCCCATATAAATATTGTCAATTTTCCCCTAAGTAGGAAAGTTATTTATTAGGAATAGGAAAAATAAAATTTCCATGAACCCCACATAAATCTGAAACAAGAACATGAATTAAAAACTTATATATCATTGACCAACTTTTCCCTTCTCAAAATCCTAAAAACAATCAGACTACAATTCCTACACTACACTAGCCTAGTCCAGCCAATTTAACCCCACTCAACACCTTTACATATTTTGAGAGGTCTGTTAAAGAGAGAGAGAGAGAGAGAGAAGTGAAAAGAGAGAGGAGAACAGACACAAGAAAAGCAATTCTAAGATGAGAAGTGGGTTAACCACAGTAGAAAGATAAATGCAAAAGACCTAAGATTAGGTAGTGGAATCAGTGATGATGGAAAAAAAACAGACAGATGAAGGGTGAAGTAACTAAACAGAATCACACTGTAGATTAGTGGCGATGCAATTGGAAGAGGAGAGAGGCAGAGATCTGGGAAAGAAAAAGCGAAATGTGTGTAAATGTGAAAGAATGCCAAACCAAAAGTAAAACATATAAAGTCCCACGGCAGTGTTACGTGGGTGGGGAATTCAGAATTGGAAAGGGAGGGGAGTAGTGAATCGTGCAATCGTTGAAAAAGTGGTTTGCAAATTGGGGGCCTCACCTCACTCACGCCCAGGTAGGGATCTGCTACCAACAAAGCTACCAATGGGAATATTTCCTGGTCAGTCATGGGGAGATATTCCCAATGGGTGGCTGCAGTGGCTGGTTGGAATATGTTGGCAGCGTCTAGTTGGTAGCAGATCTGAGTCATCTGACCAGTCACAGACTCACAGCTCACACCCATTTGTTATTTTATTCTTGTACATATTTCAACCTGAATAGCTTCATTACTTGTTTGTTAAGATTACAATCTTAGCAACAAAGATTGCTCCAAGAGTCGTATTTGCATAAACTCAGCTGTTTACTCCAACGATGACAGTTCTTTTAATTTTTCTTTTTTTGGTTGGGTTTTTTACATGGAGAGGGAAAGAGAAAGAGAAGGTTTGCTGTTTGGTTCAGATGTTTGTCCTTTGCAATGTGTTTAATAGATAGCTTGTTCTAGTTTTAATGGAGCAATGAAAGTTGGAGGCTGGTCATTACTTCATGTTTGTGGTGGGTAGCACATCCATTATATATTTCCTTTCTTTATATAATTGAAGTCGGTTTGTCCTTTTGATTGTATGACTTCTCATTAATGGGCCACAAAGAATTGATTACAACATTATTATTATTATTATTATTA